TGCTGCTAAGGTTTCTATTTGTATTAGGGCCTATATAATAATAATAATAATAATAATGTGAGATAAAGATGTTCTAAATTTGACTCCAGTGGGTGTCTTCTAGACAAAGCATCCCTTGGTGGGCTCTACAATAATGCCCTTCTTTATTATGGAGTTTCACACACCCTAAATTAAGTGCATTGCTTGTTACTGTTTTGAGCAGCCAAAAGCCCTCAAAAGTTGCTAGATGGTATTTTTATTTTGTCAGAGTTTCTTTCCAAACGTTATTGTTCTCTTTTTAGAGTATGACCGGGAATGATTTGGTGGTGGTGGTTTAAATTATTTTTTATTTAAAAATATATTAAAATAATATTTTTTTTAATTTTAAAAAGTTATTTTTAATATTAGTATATTAAAAAGATATAAAATAAAAAATACTTAAATTTTGATGAAACACAATTAAAATGATATTTTTAAATGAGATCTCAAAAACATTAAAAAATTAATTAATATATTAAAACAAAATGTATAGCTTTTACTATTCATACAACATTTAAGTTGTTTCCCAATTTTTTTATTGAATACTTTTATAACTTAGTCATATAAGATAAAAATTTTAGATTATTATAAAAAGATATAATAAAAAAGGAAGATCATAATGCAAAACACGAAGAAAACACTTGAATATTCTTAGATTTGCAAAAAAAAAAAAATTCAATCCATTTATTTTTATTTCTCCTCCAATTCTTCAAGCCATTTAGTTTTTGAACTTTATTTTTATTTTAAAAATTTATTTTAAAGCCTCTAGTTTTGAAATAGGATAAAGAAATTTGTTAGAAAATGATGAGCGAAAGAAAAGGTTGTCAATTTGCCACATCCACCAATAATAAAGGTCTATTTTATTCTCAATGGATTTCATTCAATGTTTCTATTAAAGTAGTTTTAAACCTTTATCTTGTCAAAAAAAATTATAAATATAGGTTAAGAAAGATTTTTTTTCCAGATTGATTGTGGTTTTGGAATGAATTATGAGTATTTTAAGTTGAGAAATTGGTTTATTGACATGATAAGAATTTTTATTAGTTAATTTTTGATGAAAATAGGTTAAAAATAAATTTTTAAATCCAAAAAACCCTAGACTAATTTTTTGATCATCTCTCTAATTATAAAAACAAATAGTCAAACAGACGACACATTGTATTCTTTTTTTTTTTTTGATAAAAAAGGATGTACAAGCTCTAAACAATGAACACTGCCCCCACTAAATGAGAGATTTATTATTTTGCCATTGAGTATTGCACACCTGTCTCTTCAAAAATTATATGTCCCTAAAAACAAATTTAGACAATTATAGTAGAATTAGAGCTTGTAACACAAAACAATAATGTTATGTGTAAAGTCATTCTAACAACAATTTAAGGATCAGCTTGGGCGTGGTATCATAACTTAGAGTTTAGCTTCATTATTAACTTTGGTTATCTCTATACCAAACTCATCTTTTGTTTTAGCATAAACAAACCAGATAAAAAGAGTACAAGTGTGTTATTTGTCATCACATAATAAGAAAATGAGAATATAAGAATATATCATCAAAACTTTAATAAGAAAATACTCAATATAGAAAGTCTACTCGAAATCATTACCTTAAAAACCCTAAATAGTAAAGTCTATAAGTATTTTTATAGGAATGATTATACACTCTTCACAGCCTTATTTTTTTTAAAGTGAAATGAAAAATGAAAAACCTTTCATAT